TTACGTAAAAGGGTATTTTCAAAACAACTTTCCAGTCTTTTTTTTAGACAAAAATATAAAGTTCAAAGGTATTTTTTTTTATATTAATTTAGCCAATAATTCTTAACATATTATATTATAGGTAGGGTGGACGTTCAAGCTCTAAATCATTTGATCGATAGTAAACGTCTTTTTTCTTTATCTTTGTTTTTACTTTTTTTAAGCCTAAAATTTTTTCAACATCTTAATCTACTCGTCTGACCAATCCAATTACTAAAATCCACCAAATATATTCACGCGAAAAATTTAAGAATCCAAAATTAAAAGAAAAATAATTTTTTTATTTAAAGCTCGAGATGCTATATATCATCCAAAAATAATATAATATAATATAATATTTTCGAGGATTATCGTGATTTATTTAAATTTTAAGAGATATTATGATCTTTATATTTGTCTTTTATTTAGCATAATATCTCTTATAATTGAGAAGATGAAATGTCATGTCATTGATTTGAATGATTAAGAATAAGTTTAATTCACAAGCTTTAATTTCTTTTTTTTTTTTTAAAGAAATTGGAATTTTCAACCAATTAATTCAAACATAATACACACTTTAATTGCTTTTAAATTACTAAACAACCATAATTATATAATTCATAATTTTTAATTCTAAATTTAAATTTGAATTAAATATTTTAAAATATTATTAATATTAATTTAACCTCGCATAATTTCATTGACCAATAAAAGCGTATTCATATATGAATTATATATAATTAATTTTTACGTGTTTAATTAAATAATAAAAAATTGTCGTAAATTTGTCAACCCAAACAGCTCCGATAAATAACAAATTCAGTTCAATCCAATTATAAATTTTTTGAGTCTGGTGCTTCGGATATCATTTATTTAATTATTATTTTTTTTAATAAACAAAATATTTATTTATTTTTAAACATTTAATTAAAATTTGTAACTCATTTTAAATATATATTTTTTTAAATTGTAGTTGGAAGAATAAATAATTATAAAAAATTAAATATTATAAGTGTACAGTTAACAAAAATATATATTTTAAAATTAATTGACCAACCAACCAAATTCATAATTTTTCAGTTTTTTAGAACCCAGCCTAACTAAAATAAGTTCATAACGTAACCCAAATTGTACAGATGGTGTTATGTTGTGTTGAGTTGAGTTAGATTAATCGAATTTTTTAGGTTGTCGAGTTTTGGGTCAGGTCGAGTTGGGTTGATCAAATTTTTTAGGTCGTCGAGTTTTGGGTCGGGTTGAGTTGGGTTGATCGAGTTTTTTGGTTCATCGAATTTTGGGTTGATCGAGTTTTTTAGGTCATTAGATTTTTTAATGGAGCGTTTTTGGTTGAATTATTAAATTTATTAATGCAAAAATAATAAAATTGGCATTGATATGATAGCAACAAATGAATAATGATAGCATTGAAAAATATATATAAGAGGACAAGAAGCAAATAATAAAGTGAGTAGACCCCTTCCACCCTCCTTTGATATTGCCCTTTTTAATATCACATTATACCATCATTATATTATACTATAATGTTTATAGTAATATATATATATATATATATATATATATATATATCATATGCTATCTATTTATATTTTCTATTCAATAATTGTCCTTATAGAATCTATTCTTTCTTTGACGGCGTCTATTTATTTAAATCATTACAATAAAATTAAATAATTTTAAGGTCGAGTCCATGGCTCGAGAATATTGTATAAGCTAAGAAATTTGTGAAACTCTACACCCTGATTTTCCTGTATTCTCGACGATGTGGTTATGTTACAGATCGTATTCTGGTCGATATTAGTTTTTCGGGTATGAGCTAGAATCATTCAAGGACCCCCATTGGTTCGGTCGTCGTAATATAGGCTTAATTAAAAAAAAAAAAAAAAAAAAGGGAAGTGTTTGCCGACACTCTTACAATAAACCAAAAAACAAAACTTTGGTCAAAAATAGGATTCCCCACTTTGATGACATTTATGTTCTCAAAGAATAAAAATGTCGACTACGTCTTAAACTAATTTATTGTCTTTTATCTTTCTTAATTTTTAGAAAAATAATTATAACTATTTTTTTAAAAAAATATCCATATATATTTCTTTTTCTTTTATTATTCTAAACCTTTTTCAAAATTTTAAATACTCGAGAAATTGTTTTTATAATTTAACAGTAGGATGGAATAACATTGGATTGTAACTCTATTTTCGAGTTGGTTTGACTAAAAAAATGTCAACCTACGTGCTGATTCGAACATAAAATTCTACCCAACCTAACTTTTATATTTGATTAGATAATTTGAGTTGGTCGGGTTGTCGAATCATTTGAATACTCTTACTTTATAATGAGATAAAATAAACGTGACGTTTAAAATATATTCATGGTGGTTGAGCTATGTATTTGGCCTTTTCTTTATATGAAATAAGGATTGATGGGCCACTAAATTCATTTAGGGCATTTTTGTACTTTTACTTTTTCATAAATATTGTGTTATTATTTCTTTTTAACTTATTCTTCAATTTTTTAATTTTTAATCTATTTTCTACATATATTAATAAAGGTAAAAACGTTGAGTATAATTTAATAATAAATCACGTGCCATGGTAAAAAAAGTAAATAAATAAAACCCATAAAATATTTTATTTGTATTATTAAAGTAAATTGGTCGGTACAATGTCGCAAAATAACAACCTCCTTAATTAATATTTTAGATAATCCATGATTAATTATTAATTTTCCTCTCTTAATTAAATACATCGTCATACTAATTATTAATATTATTATAATACATTTAAAAAAAATTAAATCATTGAATTTCTCCAATTTTATTTATTTATTTTGAAATTGTTTTTTTTTTATAATTGTTTTAGGGTTTTTAAAAATGGGAATTCTCCGCCACGACGACCGCAGTTACACCGGAGACATCGCCACTGCGTCAGCACGAAATCCGGCCGTCCATACCCCTCACACGTGTACTGTCTTTTCACCTTCTACACACGTGTCTATGTGTCGGTGGCCTAATCCGCCATGTCCACGCATTCAAAATTCTTCCACCGTCCGTTACACTCTTGATGCTACGGATGATTGCCACGTGGCCGAAAAAGTAGGTGACGTTAGCAAAACCCTTTAAATTGGTCGCTCTCTTTCCAAGCCAGGCATTGTGGTTCTGTACTTGTCAAAATTACGGCTTTGCTTTTTTTTTTTTCAGTTCCCAATTTTTGGAATTATATCACATGAAATGACATTTATGCCCCTGGTATTGAACAAACATTAGGTTAAAATGTCGTTTTGAGTTGGGTTCGGAATTAGGCTCGGATAAACATGATATTGCCCAAAAAATATTATTACCGCTAATTATTTTTATAAAAAACATTAAATTTTGATTTATTACTACTTTTAAACTTTAAAATTGTAAAAAAATAAATAAATTTGATAAAAATATAATTTAATAGTTTACAAATTTTATATAAAAATTTAAATATATTTATAGATTTATTAGATCTAAAATTTAAAATTCATAAACTTAATAAATGCAAATGTATACAAAAAAAAAAAATATATATATATATATATATATATATATATATATAACTTTTAAGCGCCTTATAATTAGGTTCTGAAAGTCTCATTTAAAAAAAGTAATTGAGTTATTATAAAACAAATTTATTATTATATATAAATTTTAAAATGTTCCTTTCAAATAATTTACAGTTGGGTTGAAAATCGACCTTTGACCAAGAGTGAGTAGGTGTGTAACACACGCGCGGACAGTGAAGGTTCCGTAACGGAGAAGCGCGTGGAAATTACGGAGAAAGGCCTGTGGCTGCTGACCGACAATGAACGGTCACCAATCTGAAGGCTCTGTTTGCTGGTGCCGGCAACGTCCCCCGAAATAAATAAATTTTTAAATAATAATTATGATAATAGGACGAAAAAAAATAATTAAAAAAATTAACTTCACCGACCGTCACACTATACCAAATACATTTCCGCCACGTGTTCTAAAACCAATATTTTCTCAGTAATTATAATTATTTATTAAATAAATATTTCATTTAAATCAATATCATCAAACTAAATCTTAAATAAACGAATTACAGTGAAATTTTGTCTTTTTTCTTTTGTTATTTGAATAAAATAAAACAGTTACGTGGCAGCTAATGATTGGATAGGGGAGCTATCCCAGTGCACCGCAAAGCGTGGGAACATTCCTCCTCTTGTAAAATTAATTGCCGCCCCTTTAATTTCTTGACTTGGCAGCTTTATTTTTCCTTTTCTCATCTAATAAATAATAGTTATTACAATTCTATTATTTGATTAATATATATTTAAATTTACAACAGAATTTACTGCAGTAACTCTGTAATTTAAATTTAGCGGTGAATTTTACAATTTCTACTAAATAATAATAACCATTTCAAATTATTCTTGACGTTTCCGAAAATTCAGTCCACTTTTATACACATTTCTCGTGTCAAATTAATTATAAATATAGTTTTTTTTTTTTTTTCACTAGCTTAATGGATAATTAATTATAAAATAAGAAAATCATGAATAATTATTTTTTTAGATATAGACATGACTTTCATGCCGTTGATTTTTAATATCTATAACAAAGGGTCGGGTTGGATTAGAGTAGAGGAAATTTTGGGTTGGTTAAGTTGACCTGAAGAAAAATTTCAACCCACAAACTAACCGAGAGTGGTCGAGTCTATATATGTAAGTCTAATCCCACCATTAGTAGATATTATATTTTTCGGGCTTTTCTTCTAGGTGTCCTCTTGGGGACCCAACGTCCTCGCTAAACACACGGTCCGATGTCTGGTTTTGATACCATTTGCAACCGTCCAAACTCACTGCTAGTAGATATCGTTGTGTTGGCGTAGTTATTACACAATAATTTGTTTTTGCAGAAAATAAAATTTTAATTTGTAATGATTGAAGCGATGTTTATTTATATAGCAAGCTGCAAACAGCTAAGTTAGCTCCCCACTCTGTTTTAAAATTATTTCATCTCTCTCTCTCTAACCTCTCTCTCTTTCTCTCTTCAAGAACACGAAGAACAACAAAGAAACAGAGCCTTACAAATTCAATTCTGGGTTCTCATTTTCCGTCACTTTCTCGGGAAAATTCAACCCCCAGAAAAGATCTCTCCCTGTTTAACCTCTGTTTTTCTTTGGTCTCTATGTAATGCTGAAATTAGAGGCTGCCCAAACCGGGTGTTGCAGCCCTTTAGTATCAGATCGGGTCGGCCGAGATCTAGCCGTTTTCGGTTCGATTCGTGAATTTTGAAACCCAGGAGAAGGAAGAACCGCCGTTGAAGCTGGGAAAGGATGCTTAGAACGAAGACGAAAGCCCCAGCACCGCCGCCGACAAATGGAATCTCCGGCGGCGGCGGCGATTCGCGGCCGATGGATTGGGAAATGAGACCCGGTGGAATGCTGGTTCAGAAGCGAACCGACGCGGAGAAAAACTCGGTTTCGGCTCCGATTGTACGAGTCCGGGTCAAGTACGGCTCCGTCTACCATGAAATCTCCATTAGCTCTCAAGCTTCTTTCGGTAAATTTTCACTCACTCATTAAATCCTACGCTTTTCTTAATTTAGGGATTTAATTTTTTTAAATTAAGTATTGTTATTTTATTATCTACTTTTAAATTATTTTTTAAGTCAAAAATTAAAACTTAAAAAAAAAACTAAATTTTAAGTTTTTTTGTTTTTTTTTTTTTTAAATTTGGTAAATAGTTCTATTATTGTTTTACAAAAAAAAGTAAAATCGAGGGTAGAAACGAATCTAGTCAAGTTGATTGAAGAGGGGAACCAAACATTTCTTATGATAGTGTGGAAACCTCTCCCTATTATACCTGTTTTAAAATCATGAAACTGGCAGCGACGTGGGTCAAAGCTGACAATATTTACTAACGGTGGGTTTGGACAATTACAAATGATATTAGAGCCAGACATCAGGCAGTGATGTCAGCGAGGACGCTAGGTCTCCAAAGGGGTGGATTGTGAGATCTCACATTGGTTGGAGAGTGGAACGAAGCATTCCTTACAAGGGTGTAAAAACCTCTCCCTAATAGACGCGTTTTAAAATCATGAGGCTGATGACGATACGTAACGAGCTAAAGTGGACAATATCTATTAACGATGGGCTTGATTAGTTACAAATGGTATCAAGCCAGACAGTGATAATGCTGGCTCCTAGTAGGGGGTGGATCGTAAGATCCCACGTTAATTGAAGAAGGGAACAAAGCTAGTCATAATCCTCTCTCTCGTAACTCTATGAAAATGGTTCGTATTTGGTCGTAGTCGAAAACCATATTAATATCTTAGTTATGTGGTGGGTGTGCGTTTGTGTTGGGTAGGTGAGTTGAAGAAAAAGCTGGTGGGTCCGACAGGGCTGCACCACCAAGACCAGAAACTGTTGTACAAAGAGAAAGAGAGGGACTCGAAGGCATTTCTTGACGTTTGTGGCGTTAAAGATGGGTCCAAAATATTGCTTGTGGAAGACCCAATTAGCCAAGAGAAGAGACTGCTAGAACTCAGAAAAAACGCCAAAATTCAAAAGGCTTCCAATTCCATTGCCCAAATCAGCTTGGATGTTGATAGACTCGCTGGCCAGGTATCTTTTTTCTTACTCCAATCTCTGTCATCTCGACCTCGTCTTTAATCGTTCTTCGTATATCGTGTAGGTTTCGGCGCTTGAATCCATCATCAGCAAAGGCGGGAAAGTTGCTGAGAAAACCGTGTTGAGTTTGATCGAGTTGTTAATGGATCAGTTGATTAAATTGGATGGTATAGTCGGAGATGGAGATGTGAAGTTACAGAGAAAAATGCAGGTAAATTCTTGTTTTTGTTTTCGATTTCTCGAGAAACAAACAAAACCCTAGTTAGTTAGCTAACACTTTGAAAATCGATGGTTTTGAAGGTGAGAAGAGTGCAAAAGTACGTTGAGACATTAGATATACTAAAGATCAAGAACGAAAAGCAAACCCCAGTTCAAGTTCAGCCTCGAAACTCTGATGGGTCGAAACCAGCTCACGATCAATCGCAACCCTCGACAGAGAATTCGTCGTCATCGGTGCATGAAAGAAAATCGACATCGGAAACAGTTGTTACGACGAGATGGGAGATATTCGACGCGATGCCACCATTGGTACCGACGTCTTCTTCAACTGCAATCCCGGCAGCCAACAACAACAATCATGTTCATCCCAAGTTCAATTGGGAATTTTTTGATTGAAAAATTTTCAAAAGAATTTTATTGTGTATTAATATGGTCTGATGTGTGATTGAGAACAAATGGTTTGATTTTTTTTTTTTTTTTATATTCTTTTGTGTATTTAATTTTGCTTAGGACAATACAATTTGTCATTTAAGTTCAATAAATGAATACGAAAATAAACCATTTATAATAATAATAATAATAATAATAAAAGAATCATATTTACGACCCTATAATAATTACTATACATTCTTTTTGACAAAATTAAGGTTATCCCGTAAAAATAGTCGAGATGTATGTAAGTTGACCTAGAAGCTCAAAGATGGTATAAAAAAAGCCATTTTTTAATATAGTTATTATAAATTTTGTTTGACAAAACTAAGAAGACTGTACGGTGAAAATAGTCAAGATGCATATAGGTTGACTTAAAAGTTCAAAGATGGTATGAAAAAATGCCCCTTTTGTTATAATTATTGTATATTCGGTTTGACAAAACTAGGAAGACTGCCCTGTAAAAATGGTCGAGATGTACGTAAGTTGACCCAGTAAGTCATCACAGGATTTACTGTGACCTAGATTCTTTTTCTTGGTTTTTTAGCTAAAATTGGACCAAGAGGGAGTTAAATTGGATCGGGGAGGGTTTATAAATGGTTAGTAAGGTTTCACTCCAAGAACAAGATGGTAACTTTACGTGTGTAATTGAAACCTCTCATGCCCAGAATTCAAAGTGAAAAATAGAGAGAAAAATTAGGCAGTCACACGTGTCCTTGTTTCATGGCTCGTGTCATTCGCACGTGGCAATCTGACTGTGAATATCTCTGACTACACTCTCTTCACCGGCTCGAATCCCGTACATCAATTTTTTCGTCAGCTCACTGACTTACATCAGTTATGTTCCGCCACGTCATAGAGTCAACTGAGAGGAAAGAGGCGGTAGTAAACTGTACAGTGGTTTACGTAGAGACCGCCGCAGGTGATTGAAGCTAGTGAATGATGATCCATCATAAAGAGATTATCCAATGGGTTTCCGCCACGTGCTGACGATCTTCCTTTTCCAGTCGAACGACATCTAAGAGGCGTGTCGAAAGCGTTACCGGCAATAGCCGGTGTCATCAAGGCTGGTTACGAGTGAAACCGGTCATTTGGATCCCGGCTATTCCCGCTATGTATATAACTGGAACTCCTCCATCTCCTTTTCTTCTTCCTCTCTCACTTTTGGATTTCCGTTCTTCGAATTCTCAGCGAAGCGGAGGCTTTAGCTTCCATTGCTCGTCTGGTTTCAGCCTCTTTTCCGCTTTACAAGGTTGGTAGTCAAATTCTCTTCCCTCTTCTGTCTTCTATTTGATTTTATTGGTTTTCTTTGGTTAGTTAATTTTGTTGTTCTTTCCGGTTTTTTGGAAATGGATTCGGATTTGGATCCTCTGTTTCAGTGCTCAAGACTACTTTTCCCTTTTTCCTTTTGTCCGTTCTTTGCTTTGTGTTAAATTTGCTCGATCCTCCGCCTTTTCTTGAATTATGATGCTTAATTTGAGTTTAGCTTTGGGTTTTAGGGGAGTTGTAGCTATCCATTTGTTTCGTTCTTTGAAAAATTGTGCTCTGGTCATTCAAATTTCAGTTTCGGTTTTGAAGCGGTATGATTTCGGTTGAATTTGGAAGTTTGAGAGTTTCTCTGAGAATTGGAATTTTGTTTTTGTTCTATTTCTCGTACTTCATGTCTAAGATATGCGGAATATTGGGTCTTGAAAGTGGCTATTTCGAAATTAGGTTTCTGTCTCTCATTTGTGGCTTGGCTATTTGTGGAAAGGGTTGGAAATAGCCCAAGATCGAAATAGGTGGAAACAAATAACTCGAGTGGGAGAACATGAGGGGAAAGAACGAGGAACTATCTCCTTAACTTTCAAATCAATAACTACTTAATCTTCCTAATTGATTCCCTAAACTTTCAAATTAATAACTATTAAATTTTTATCCTAAAAATTGCTTAGTTTTAGTTTTTTTTCCTCCTCTGCTAATGTTGTTGTTTTCACTGTTTAATCATAGGTTCTTCTGTATATCAATATCGACCAGGATTGCAGATCACCGGCACATTGCAATCTGGTGGTTGAGAACTTGTAGGATATGTGATAATTCATTGATAACTTTTAAAGAATGAGGGGTCGATTTTTTTTCTCTATATTCTTAGTTGAGTACTGAACGCCTCTGTTGTTCGATCATGTGTTTTTGAGATTTCGCGGATGCCCATGAGTAAGTTTTGGGGTTTTTTCCCTATGGATTTAGTTTGAGTGTCATATTTTGTGGGTCAGAAATACTTGTAGCAGTGATTGGTGAAAGACTGGCTCTAGAGGGCTACTTGGACGCTGTCCAACAAGGACTGGTGCCCCCAATGACATCTTCTAGGGTGGCTGGAGGATTAGCCCAATCTTCCTCAAACTCTGGGATTTTTTTCCAAGGAGATGGGCAGTCAAAGGGCAATGTTAAATCTCACTTGGTCTCATCTTATGGAAACTCATCAAATTCAATTCCAGGACCTGGCCACTCAAATTTGGGTCCAGTTTCTGGGGACACGAATAATGTAGTGTTAAATAGTGTGGCAAACTCAGGAATAAGTGTTGGGGCAAGTTCGTTGGTTACAGATGCAAACTCTGCACTCTCAGGTAGGCCTCATTTGCAGAGAAGTCCAAGCATGAATGCTGAATCATACATGCGATTACCTACTTCGTCTATGTCTTTTACATCAAATAACGTGAGTCTCTCGGGTGCATCACTCATTGATGCATCTTCTACAGTTCAGCACAATTCTCAGCAGGATCATAACGCCCCACAATTGTTGCAGACCCAACCACAGTCCCAACAAGTTGCTCCAGGTGATGCATCATTGTCAAATTCACAAACCGTCCAAGCTTCTCTACCCGTGGGTGCACGTGTTGCTGGATCTCTCATGACAGATCCCAACAGTTATTCTCAGTCACAGAAGAAACCACGCTTGGATATTAAGCAGGATGATTTCCTGCAACAGCAGATGCTACAACAGCTCCTGCAGAGACAAGATTCCATGCAGCTGCAAGGTCGTAATACGCCGCAGTTACAAGCAGCATTATTTCAGCAGCAACAGAGATTACAGCAACAGCAACAGATTTTTCAGTCTTTGCCTCCTTTGCAGAGAGCTCACCTGCAGCAGCAGCAGCAGATACACTTGAGACAGCAGCTTCAACAACAGGCAATACAACCCATAAATGCTATGAAGCGGACTAATGATGGTGGTGTATGTGCTCGGCGGCTAATGCAGTATCTATACCATCAGCGTCAAAGACCTGCTGTAAGTTCATCTTCTGTCTTCTTCATTTGTCTTTGGAGTCATTTTCTGCATATTTATCAACAAGTTTTTTCAGCATATTTCTACATGCACTGTTTTTAAGCCTAAATATGAACTATTAGTTTTATGACTTCTGATAGGATAATAGTATTGCCTATTGGAGGAAGTTCGTGACAGAATATTATTCCCCTCGTGCAAAGAAAAGATGGTGTTTGTCACTATATGACAATGTTGGTCATCATGCTCTAGGCGTTTTCCCTCTAGCAGCTATGGTCAGTTATTCCTTACCTTGGTATTTTTTAGGGTTTTTTTTCTGTAGCGTTTGAATTTTCTACGTGATCTTTATCCTGACAATGCTAATTTTGTCTTTTGAAATTTGATTAATCTTTCTTTGAAAAGAATCTTATGTGATGAGTGAAATTGGTCAGTGTGCAATCTGCTAAAATGATGTCTACAATTTTTTATTTTGCTTTTCCAATTAAGTAGTTGTGACACTTAGCTTCACCCCTTAATTCTCCATTGTTATCTATATTTCAGGATGCATGGCAGTGTGAAATTTGTGGTTCAAAGTCTGGGCGGGGATTTGGTATGATACTGATAACCTTTTTTATATTACTTAATAGATAATTGAGCTTTTCAAAGAAATGGCCTGGGATGTGTAAATTCTGTAGGTTTCAAAATTTGAGTTTTTCAAAGAAAGCCAATTCCCACTTATAGGTAATTGAGTTATTATCATGGTTTGAGTTAACATATTGACATATAGTCAAAGATGTCTAGCTCGATTTCTAGATTGAAGTTAATGTCTTATATTCACATTTTTAATTTGTCTTTACTGCAATATAAACCATAACATAATACATTTCATGTGATGGTTTCAGAGGCTTCCTTTGAAGTGCTTCCTAGACTCAATGAGATCAAATTTGGCAGTGGAGTCATTGATGAGCTATTGTTCTTGGATATGCCACGGGAGTTCAGATATTCGTCTGGAATTATGATGTTAGAATATGGAAAAGCAGTTCAAGAGAGTGTATATGAGCAACTTCGTGTTATTCGCGAGGGTCACCTTCGTATCATATTTACTCATGAATTGAAGGTCAACAGAATGATTATGTAAATTGAATTTTCTAAATAAATTTAAGAATAATCCTTCTGTGCTAAAATAATTTGGCAATTGGATTCTACTTCAGATATTGGCATGGGAATTTTGTGCAAGACGTCATGAAGAACTTCTACCTCGTAGGTTGGTTGCACCTCAGGTAGCACAAATGTTTGCTGATGATATCCTGGTTCTAAGTTTTTCCAGTTTGTTATTTAGACGTGATTAATCTTGTCGTGTTTGATCTCCTTTTAGTTGTTGACTGATCCATCCAATTGATAAATGTTTAATTACAGGTGAATCAGTTGGTCCAGGTGGCACAGAAATGCCAGAGCACTATTGCTGAAGGAGGATCCGATGGGGCTTCTCAGCAGGATTTACAAGCAAACAGTAATATGTAAGTTGATCAAACTATAGCGTAATCTTTATCGTTGAATCAAATTTTGTTTCTTGTCATCTTCTATCATGGTTTTGTTGAACTTCTAATCCAAACGTCCAAGGTTGTCTGCCACTTTGTTCTATTTATCTCTCTCTGTTTTGACCAAAAAACAAGTAGAAGTGGACAAGATTTGAGCTTGTGGTGGATACCTTGATTTTCTTTGTTAATTGAGCTGTCATTAATGGATTATTCTTTTTCCTCTCTTAGTCAACGAAGTCCCATGTAGGAATGTTTGGATTGGCTATCCAAGATCTGCTGCTACAAATGTTGGCTGATAGCTATTTTCTTGCTTATTGAAACTGATAGTGCACCATTCTCATTGCTAATGCAATCCCTTCCCTTTAGGGTTTTGACAGCTGGGCAGCAGCTCGCTAAGAGTCTGGAGTTGCAGTCACTTAATGATTTGGGGTTCTCCAAAAGATACGTTAGATGCTTGCAGGTGCATTTTTATGTAGTTTTACAAAGGATTATCTGTTCTGTACTTATCTGCTTTGCTCAACATGTTTGGCCCGATCGTGTTTAGATATCAGAGGTCGTCAACAGCATGAAAGATCTGATTGATTTCTGTAGGGTGCAGAAAACCGGACCAGTTGGTATGCCTCATTCTTTCCAATAATTTCCACAATCAGTTCTTGATGAATAAACCTTTGAACTTGTGTAGTTTCATAGCTTTGAATCTTATAATGAAGTTTTTGACAGAGGGTCTGAAAAGTTATCCTCAGCACGCCACAGCCAAGCTGCGGATGCAAAAAAGGCAAGAGATTCAACAGGTCGCTACTGCTCAAGGTCTGCCAACCGACCGCAATAGGATGCTCGCCCTGCATCCTGGGCTGATGAACAACCAAATGAATAGCCAAAATCAAGTAATCGGCAGAGGAGCTTTGAGCAGTTCGGCCCAAGCCGCTTTGGCATTGTCTAACTACCAGAATCTGCTTATGAGACAGAATTCAATGAATTCAAACAGTTCAAACCCGCTTCAGCAGGGGACATCATCATCCTTCAATAACTCAAACCAAAACCAGAGTCCTTCATCAAGCTCTCATGGTGGGACAACTGCTTTGACATCAGGACCGATGCGAAACGTGCTCGGCAGTGCTCTTTCAAGTCCTCATTTACCTTCACAACAATCCAACAACTTAGTTGCGCAAAACCATCCTCAGAGCGCTCAAGGTAGCGGCAACAATAATCAGGCCATGCAACATCAGATGATCCAGCAGCTTCTCCAGATATCTAATAATAACAACAGTGGGGGAGGGCAACAGCAGCCACTTCCTGGTTCGAACACGAACACGAACGGAAAGATGGGGGGGTCTTATTCAGGGTTCGGCGGCAGTTCTTCAGCAGCTTCTGGCACAGCCAATGCATCCATCAGTAATAATACGCCGCCTGCCCCGAGCCGGAGTAACAGCTTCAAAAGCGCTTCAAATGGTGATGTATCAGCAACTGGAGGTCATAGCAGTGGGTTCAACCAAAAAAGTGGAGACTTGCCGCAAAATCTTCATTTAGAAGAGGACATAATCCAGGATATAGCCCATGATTTTACAGAAAATGGGTTTTTTAACAGTGATCTTGACGATAATATGTGCTTCGCCTGGAAAGTTCAACTAACTTAAACAGGCTTTTAACAATTAGCTCCCACCCTTTGGGTTAAGTAAGTGGAGAACCATATATTTTGTACAGGATATTTGAGATTGATATTTTCTTCTGATCTCCCACCCTTTGGGGGGGTTTTCTCCCAAATGAATGTTGTATCTGCCGTGGAAACATGCTTCTTTGTAACTCATTAGGTATTTGGGGATCCTCCTGTATGGTATTCTATAAGCTTTCTGGATCCAAAAAATGCGAACTGGGATGGAATGCCAAGTGGCTCGAGATTCATGGGTTGCCACTATAGCCGAGAAGTAATCCTAGTCCATATCACACACAACCTCAACCTCAACCAAATACATACATAGAAAACAATGGATGATACAAAAAAATATCCACACAAAAAGGGTCATTCTTCTTTAAGAACTATCAAAAGCTGCCTTGCCTTCAAATTGGGAGGGACAAATGAAGACAGAGTCCACACAAAGGCCACCTTTAGTATGAGTGCAATCAATCTGAATCAATGAAAATTTGATGTGGGTTTGAAGATTAGGGTTTTGGACACAAAAATCACCCACATGATGCAAAACCCAGTTCCCAGAATGGCGTAGGTAACACTCAGATGAAGCTTTCTGGGCATTGGAGGCTGTCATCTCGAACCTCACTGGCTTGATCTCCCACCCATGGACCTGCCCCACTTCTGTCACTCTTCTTCCAAACTTCTTTGAAGGCTTTCCCAGCTGAAGCCTGAAGTATAGGCTGTAGTTTCCCTTTGGGAACTCCAACTCCAATTCTCCTCGTATCTCTACCCACCAGATTTGTTTCAGATATGCCACCGACTCAAACCTGTAAATTCAGCTCATCATCCAATCCAAATTCAATATTAGAACACGATCACCATCCATCGCCTAATTCAATATGATTAAAACTGAATTGTAAGTTTGAATTTCGTTTTTTGATTCGTAACTTATCTTCTAATTCCAGACTTTTAATTATTATGATTCATAGAACCAACCAAATTTTAAGTCATCCAATGTGATGGTGACTTAGGTCTCATTCTCTTTTCAAATGATGAAATGGTCTAAAATTGAGGGCTTGAGAATTCAAGGATTGAATATGGTTTTGGTTTTTGTATATATTTATATATTAGTCCTTTACTACAAATATTACCATAAATTTATGCATGAAATAAGATTCGAAGTTATATTATGGATTTAGAAAAAGAAAATAATTATTGGAATTGTTTTTATGCAAAGTTTAAAAATTAGGGATTAAAATGAAATAAAATGAGGAAATTTGATAAAAAGGTTGAGAAAATATCCAAAATTTCATTAAGAAAAAGGATTTGGAAAAAAAAACAAAAAACAAAAAACAAAAAGCATCAGCAATCAGCATCTGTGGAGAAAAATTAAAAAAAGGGGATAAGGAAGAATTCTTGAGCCACTTGCAAAAAAAGCAAGAAAATTAATAAATATATATTTTTTAAAAATAAATAAAATGAATCAAATCTCCATAGCTACACTCTTTGAAAAAGTCCTAATCTGTCATTATACTTCCTTTTCCAATTTATTTCCCTTTCCCACTTTTTTTTTTTAAATCTAAAAATATTCTTAAAATTATTTTTAATATTACCCTGAAACCAAAAATTAAAAAATTAAAAATACCCTTGAACCCAAAAAAAAATTTTTAAAAATTATTTATGAAAATAATTGACCTGACGAAAACATTTTTTTTGTGTTCTTTAGAACGATGTGGAAACTTCTGTCTATTAAATGTAAATGAGTTTTAAAAATATTGAGGGGATGTTAGAGAGAAAAAACAAAAGAAAAACAATATTTACTAGCCGTGATGGCTGTGAAAGAGAGAGAGGTATTAGAGCCAAGTGCTTCGAAGAGAGTAGACACGAGCAACTTAGCCCATGTGTGTGAGTGAAAGCTCAAGGAATATAGGTAAAATTAATATTTCAAAAATATTCTTTTAATCCTAACCTAAAACTTTTTAAAATTTTTAAAGTATATCGGTTGATTTTTTCTTCGTTAAAAAAAAAAAATGGAGAAATCCTGACCTAGATTCATCCGTCGGAACAAAATTCCAATATCTTCGATCTTCAATCCCTGTGATCTTCAAGGCCTTAGCCGAAATGGAAACGAAAAGCTTCCCCGAACTCTTATCCAACCACAGCTCCTAAGAAACACACAAGAACAGAGGCGATTTGAATGATCGGAAGCCCCCGCCCACACAGAGCACAAGAAATCCGACAATTAGTTACCTTAGTGCCGCGATCGAACAGATTAGGGCGACTCAGCCTGGCGAAGATCTCCTTCTTCGGCAACCGACGATAATCGCGATCGGAAGAACAAGGAGGGAGAATTCGACGAAGCAAGACGGCGTAATTGGAAGGGAGCTTGGAATTCCAGATGAAATCGGCGGAGGAAGCGGCGCGGAAGGCTCGATTCAAGGCGGCGAGTTTGCAGATCTCGGGAGGCTCCAAGAACATGAGAACAATGGAAATACAATTCTCCGGCACGTCGTCGAAGGAATTGGAAGAGGAACAAACCGGAATGGTGCAGTCCTTCGCGAAGGCAGCCCCCATCCAACATCAATTTCACACCAATACTCTGTATTCTTCTTCTTCGGTAGGTTTGGGGTTCGAGCAAGAATTCAGACAATGTGTTTAAAAATGGGTCGCCTACGTGACCCGTGCATGGATTACTTTTTCTTTTTTTCTAATGCCCGAACAACTCAACCCAACTCAATCGGTACGGTTTGAGTTGGGTTATAAACTTACTTAGGTTAAGTTAAAATAAATAAAAGTTTATAAATTTGGTTCGGTCAAAAATTTCAGTCAATTGAGCTGAACGAAACTAATATATATATATATATATATATTTTTGAAACTGAGCCCCAAATTTTAATTAAATATTTAAAAATAAATAATTTTATTTTTATTAAAAACAAAAATTTCAATAAATTACCTAACCGTCACTAATTAACCTAATCTGAACCATAGTTGAGTTGGGGTATATTTTGAGTTAAAATTATGTAATTATTATTATTATTATTATTATTATTATATGAACAAGTTGAATCCCAATCTGGTCCCAAATTGTTTTGATTTCAGGCTATTCACTTTGTTATTGGTTAATACTTTATTCCTTAATGAAGTTGACATTTTAGAACATAATCCCCAAATATCTCTCCTCCAATTACAAATATCTCAACATTTATTTTAATACAAAATATAATAATCAAATTAAATTAAAATATCTTATTTCACCCCGTTGACTTCAAAATATTTTTTTGGATTAAACTACACTTCCCACTATATATTGTGAGCCGTTGTTGTTACTCTTTTGTTTGCATATATATAACGTCTCTTTCAAAATCTCTCTCTGCTCTCATTTTCTAAAACCTTTTTCTTAAACCGAGGTCAAAGGCTCGAGCATACGTCGTTTGGTCGTAGGCGACGTAAGAACAAATTGACTTAGTTTACTTGTCGTTGGAAAGTGAGTGTCGCATAATCGCAAGTCGGCTGTCATCAGAAGTGATTGGCTGAGTTAGTGTTAGAACAATCCAAATATAGAGTTCACAACACAACTAGATTGGATTATTGAAATTGTTCGAGTTTTTCACAACCCAATTTGAAAATCAAATCAAAATTTAATCCAATTCAAATCGAGAAAAAAAAAAACTCGATGAATAAGTGTGAATAATTTTATTGTTCTTGAATTTGATGTTTAATTAATTTACTTTGAACAAGGTTTATTGAAAATATTAAACCAATTTAATTTTTCATTTTTTTAATAAATATAAATTTGTATTATTCTTCCAAAATTACTTTAAAAAGATGAGAACTCGAGTTTAAATTATGTCGGTAGTTCATTTATGAGTGAACGATAAATTATTTATAATTAATTAAAATAACTTATTATTAATTATTTTATCAAACATATTTCGATTCCATATCTTTAAAAACAAATCTCTTAAATTATTCGTACAACTAAGATAGTTGTTCTTTTATTTTTTATATATAAATAGCTCAAAATAATTTTAATATTATAATAATTGAATTACTATATTAGTCCTGAATTTTATTTTATATTTTAATTTTTTTGTACTTTAATAAAATTTAAAATTGATTTCGTTAATTTTTATTTTAATAAATTAAATAATAATATTTAGTAACTACGTAACGCGCCTCATCTCCATATATATAATTTAATTAATCGACCTTGCCCTTCACATGTCTATGTTAATTGACTATTTTAACCCAAGTTTCATCTTTGCACTCGCTTCCACACGGGTTATTTTAATATTATAATTATAATTTCATTTTCATTTTCCTCTATAAACTTTTGACTTTTCGCTTTATTCTAATTCGAGTAATTTTTTTTTAAAAAAATGCCTATTTTTAGCTCATAAATTATGAGAGGGTATTTTTGGCATTTTTCTTTGTCTTTCATTATCAAATTAAATTATAAATGTATTCACATATGACGAAATAAATATTTTTTAAATTTATGAACAATTAAAAATATATATGAGACAATAAAATAAAAAATTATTATTATAATAATATTTTAATTAAAAAAAATTACACTCCAAAATAAAGGAAAAGAAAACCCTAGTTGTTGACTCGGCTCGGCTTCTCTAACAATAATACCTAGTCGCTCCAAGCTCATGACTGTTGTTTAACTGCTAGCCATCCGTTCGATCATTCTATCTCTCTCTCTCTCTTCACTAGATCTAATCGATTATCGCCTTTGAGTTCACGTCATTGTACATAAATTGTTAATTTTTCAGCGTCGCACATGAACAATGATTTACTCTAAAAAAACACGGGCTTTGTTTTCGTCACTGACATCGTTCAGGGTGGTTGTGTTATCGGGATTCTCATGCAATGATTTGTAGTCTAACTCCGTTCAATTTGGTGAATTCTTAACGAGTTATGATTATTACTTTTTGAAAAAAAAAAAAGAAAAAAAACTAAAAATGTTATTAAAGAATATAATATTTAGACAAACAAAAGAAATGATATGGCTGAATAATTTTGAATGGACTAGACAGGTCACCTTATTATTTTATTTTATTATTATTTTTTAAGGGGGCAATAAAAGCGTCCACTAATCCACTTGGATCGCGTTCTGCTGTTATCTCATTGACGTGGCGCTTACTCATCACCTTTGGAGATGCGCCATGTCGGCTTTTCATCCTATCCAATCCACGTGTAATACACTCACTCACCGGACCTTACATCTTTATGTGTGTATATATAAATATAAATACACAATTATTTGGCTAAATTAATTAAAAGTATTATATCTAAATTAATTATTTTTTTTATATTATTTTAATTGGGATATGGCTAAAAATCTTCGTGACATCAGATGATATTTTGTTGGGTTACGAATTATTAATGTATGATAAGTACTAGTATATTATATTATTTTTTAATAAAAATGTTTAGGAAATAAAATTGGAAGAAAATAATAAATATCTTTACTAAAATATAATTAAACAACTAAGATCTCAATTATAAATGCATGTTGGATTAAATAATTATAAAAAAATCAAACCACAGAGAGACTTATAATTATGTTTTTTTTTTTCTGAAAATAAATTATTGGTGTTATATAATTTTCTAATTTTAAGAGAATAAACCTACAATAAATTGTTTATTTTAATAATTATCTCTAAAAAAAAAACATTTTGTTTAATTTTTTTTAATACATTCCATACTTATTTTAATTATATGAGATGAGATGTGAAGATTTGAAGGGTCGAGAAGGATATATTTCATTGATATATGTTTAGACCGGCTAATTTGGCTGTAACAACTCAAGTCTAGATATTTTCTGTCTTTTTGCCGATTGCATATATTCATTAGCCTCACGGTTTTAAAATGCATATACTAAAGAGAGGTTTCTACCCACTTATAAGGAATGATTTATTACCCTCTCCAACTTAGTTAGGATGTCACAATCCATTCCCTTAGGGCCCAACGTCCTGACTAACACATCATTTGGTGTCTGACTTTAATACCAAACGACTTGATTTTCAATAGCTCAAATCACAGGTTACTATGTATATTCAAGGATAAAAAAGATGGTAAAGTTTTTTCTTTTTTGTTTCTTTTAATAAAACGAGAGAAACAATCTAAAATTTAAATATGCATTCAAAAGTGATGTAAAATAGATTCGGGGTTAAATTAAAATATAATAATTGGTTTCATAAGGAGTTGAATACACAATAGATTCGAACAATGGTCTTTAATGGAGAGAATAGTGTGAAGTGAAATATATTATAAATCTTAATTACTAAACGACGACGTTTTAGCGGAACCCCGTGGAAAGGACATTTAACAGAATTCTTCTTCTTCCTGGTTTATCGAGGAACGAAAATCTGCCGGATATCCCGAAACGCCCAATTTGGTTGCCTCCTGTTTGGATCTGATCTGATCTGATCTTCGTCTTCTTCATTTCAACGCCTTTTCTCATCATTTTCCCGAGAAAATCCCTTCCCGGGAAAATGTCTCACAGCGATACAATTCCTCTTCACCAATCCTCTCAGTCGGACATCGACGAGATCGAGAATCTCATCAACGCCAGCGTCCAAACCAGCTCCTCCACTGTTCTTCCAGCTCGCCCCCCAAGTCCTCCTAGGGCTTCTATTCCTGTTTCTTCCTCACCGTTTATACAGTCCAATCTCCCTCCACTTCCCCCCAAATCAACTAGCCAGAAGCCGCCGACTGTCTTCCCTGCTCCGCCGCCGCTGCCTGCCTCCAGTAATGCCCGGTCTGATACATCGCCGACTGGATTCGGATCGGGGCCCAACACACTGACGGAGCCGGTATGGGATACGGTGAAGCGGGATCTGTCCCGGATCGTCAACAATTTGAAGCTTGTGGTTTTTCCCAACCCTTTCCGTGAGGACCCCGGAAAGGCTTTGAGGGATTGGGATCTGTGGGGGCCTTTCTTCTTCATTGTGTTCCTCGGTCTTACTCTTTCGTGGTCTGCATCGGTCAAGAAGGTCAGCGTCGTAAAGTTTAAGTTAGTTGTAATCGCCAGTTTACTGTCTTCTGTTTGCTTTAAGTTCGCGTACAAGTTTCAGTTCGGATCAAGCTTTTTAGATGTTTGTTGTGTTCCCTATATCAGTCTTTTATTTAACCTTGTGATGCTCTGATTCGGGTTGAACCAGCTATCTGCAATTATTTAGATTTGAAATCGAGTTGAATTCATTGTTGGAAGTCAAATGTAGCTTAGCTTTAGTATTTTGTACCTTAAGAGTATCCAGAGTAGCCTAAATCAAGTGACTGAAGCGCTTTTGTTTAGATCCCTTGAAACTGTCTTGGCTAGTTTGTTTCATTGGATTTTAATAGGAACCGATGACTCTAGATACTTAGAATTTAGAACATGCCGGAAATCACAGGGACATTGCATAATCGATTTTATGAGAAAAGATTTAGAAGAGTAAATATGGATCTGGACTGTCAAGATTTCCATTTCTCGTTCGTTAATCCAAGGTAGTAATGTTGTTACTCTGATATAAAAATAACAGTGTCATGTACTGAATCCTTAAATAGAAGTAACATCTGCTCTTTCTTCAGGCAGGGACTTGTTCCCTATGATATGTACATATACGACTATGGATGCTAGACCAAGGCGTATTACCATTCTTTAGTTATAAGTTCACCTCCAAGAAATTTAGAATCCATGGAATCTCAAAGTTACTTCTTGTGGTTATTGTGTTATTTCACATTATTTGATCTTACTGAGATGTTATTCCCTGTTACCCCTTTCTATAGTATCACTCTTGATGCTGGGTATGACTTCTTTAGTGCAGCCCCTTGTCTCCCATCCCATTCAATGAAAGTAATTTCTCTTATGAAAACATTTAATTTTTTCATTTGCTTGTACTACTCATTTCTTTGAAACTGAAATACTTCACTAAAATTGAGCTGTTATCCAAAAAAAAAAAAAAAAAAAAAAAA